CACACACACACACACACACACACACACACACACACACACACACTCACACACACACACACACGCTGTAGAGATGTGCTGAAGCTGCAGTGGGTTTACACGGTGTGTTGTTGATGTGTGTTTCAGGTCCTGGTCCCCGTTGGCCCGTGATAACCCGTTTAATGACCTGCACTACGTGAGAGGAGGCTTCGTGTACCTGCAGGACATGGTGGATCGAGGAATCATTACAGTGCAGACGGGAGTCAGTCAGTCGCTCGGCATCTACGCACAGCAGATGCCGTACCCGTGTTACGTGGACGACGCGTAAGAGCCTCAAACACCGCTCTGCTCCTCCTCTCCTGATACTCCTGTCCGTGTCTGTGAAATACCAGATTATATAAGCACTGGTGGTCTGTTTTCATGTTGAAGTGACGGCTTGGTGTTGAGAGAGGGATGGTAGAGCATGCAGAGAGGATATAATAATCAACGGCTCGCTGTGGCTGTGATCCATGCCTAAAGTAAATGTCAAATTAATATGATCTTTGATTGGTTCTCGCCTGCTGGAGGAATCCATCAGTGTTCGTGTGCATTTGTGTATTGGTGCTGATGTGGATGTCAGAAGGCTTGTGTTTTAATGTGTTTATTGATTCGACTGGAAAGTGGCACGCTTTATAGATTTGAATGATAGGCTTTTTCCATGAAACTGGGACATCAGGCCCAAACTCTAGCCAGGTGATGTTCTTCATCAGACGAGTGTTTTTGCTACAGTGAGTCTTAATTCGATGAACTCTTTGTGATGGATGTGAGCGCACAGGCTTGTCGTTGTGCATAAGAAGTCATTGTGGAGACAGATAATAATGATACCATATGCATTAAGAGAGGAGGCTTCATTTTTCAGGCCACAGTTGCATATTGTATAAAACTAAATGATGCATCTTTCACAAGAGCTAGTTCAATATTTATAATTAGTTAGTAGAAATGATAATGACAGACTTCCTGTTAAAGAACTTCGCTTAAGAAAATTATAGGATTGTTAAAGATTAAATACAATTGAAGAGGAACAAAGAAGCAATTTTCATAAACATGATGATTTATAAAACTATAATATACACTACCATTCAAAATATTATTTTAAAATAAATTACTTTTATTCAGCAAGCACGCATTGAACTGATCAAATGTGACAGTAAAGACTTATAATGCTACAAAATATTTATATTTCAAATAAATGCTGCTCTTTTGAACTTTCGTTTCATCAAAGTATGCTGAAAATAAAATGTATCACAGTTTCCACAAAAATATTCAGCAGCACAACTGTTTTCAACATTGATAATAATCAGAAATGTATCTTGAGCAGCAAAGCAGCATATTAGAATGATTTCTGAAGATCATGTGACACTGAAGACTGGAGTAATGATGCTGAAAATACAGCTTTGATCACAGAAATAAATTACAGTTTAACAGATATTCACATAGAAAACAGCTGTTTTGAATTCCAATAACATTTCACAATTTTACTGTTTTTACTGTATTTTGGATTAAAAGAAAATGCAGCCTTGGTGAGCAAAATAGACTTCTTTCAAAAACAAAACACTGAAAAATCTTACCAATCCCAAACTTATGAATGCTAGTGTATATCCATTATTTTGTATCACTGTTTTTACATGTAACATATAGTGTGTGTGTGTGTGAGCGAGCGAGCGTGCGTGCGTGCGTGCGTGCGTGCGTGAGTGAGTGAGTGAGTGAGCGAGCGTGAGTGTGAGTGTGTTTGTGTTTGTGTTTGTGTGAGTGTGTGTGTTTGTTTGTGTGAGTGTGTTTGTGTTTGTGTTTGTGTGAGTGTGTGTGTGTTTTAAGGTCATACATCTCTGAAGCGTCTTTAGCCTCCCAGCAGAATCGGTCAGACTTGCGTCATTTAGTTCCATTTGAAAACTCCCAAAAGTCCAATTCTATTCTTGCACTGAAGAATAGAGAGAATGCTAATTTGCTTTTCAGAGAGAGAGAGAGAGAGAGTGTGTGTGTGTGTCTGTGTTGAGTCATTTTTCACTGCACAAAAAGCCTAAATCTGAATTGTAAATGTAAGGGGCAGAAGAGTTTCATGTTGTAAATGCCTCAGTAAGTCCTCCAGAGGATTCTGGCCTGACTGGATAAAAACAGCTTATCTACTGCCACAAATCCATATTACATGTTCCATTATTTCTAAATGATATATAAGAAAGCAGAACAGAAAGCAGAGTGCTCTTTGTTAAGAGCGAATCACTGTGGCTCAAGGATTAATCGTATCTAGAGAAAGCAATCCGTTAGCATTCCCATTCATCTCAATGGCAGTTGATCGGCTGATGCATAAACCCATGGAAATAAACGACCTGCATGCAATATTTGATGCCGAAAATGACACTCGACAATTTGAAGGCCAAACCAGTTAAAGGGATACTTTATGCATGAATGTCTTTCCAAACCCATATGGCTTTCTTTCTTTCTTGGAAACAGAAAAGATTATAATTTTCAGAAAAAAAAAAAAATTTTACTTCCATTATTTGTACGAAAATATAAACTTAGCCACACTCAGAACTAGTCCGTAAGGTGAGGAATCGTGTGCTTAAAGTTACATTCAGTGCTAAATTGTTTGTTTAGTACCGCTAAAACAACACAAACACAACATTTAAACAAAGTTATCAGTTCATTCTTAGTGCTTTCTCTCCTCAAATCGGCTATAGAATGTCAATTATAACCAAAGCGTGTTAATGCAACCGTATGTAGCGTTTCAGATCAGGACTGACTGCTGTGTGAACAATACAGAGAGTTTTGAGTGAGAGATGATGGCGAATTAATACGTTTTAACGAGTTTGTTATCACCATCCCTCGGCTGTTTCTGGTGTCAGCTCTAATTGTATTGTGGCGTCTCTCCCTGACTGTATTTATGAAAGGTAAGCAGATCCGATATGAGAAATCTATAGCTCGTCATATTTTGAGAGCACATGATATATTTGAGCTGCTAGCTAATTGAGCGCAGACAGCACTTTGTTTCCGGAACCTTCGGCTCCGATATTGACATGACATTTTCCTGGCCTTATGAGAGAACTTTAATACTGGCTTACTGTATTATCAAAGCGGCATCGGATGATGGATCATACTGACGCTGAGCTGTGTGTGTGGCGGGAAGATCATCCAGCACAGCCGGATTCATTCACAATAATAGAGTTACTCAATCCAGACCCAAATGTTTCTTCTTCTTCTTCTTCTTCTTCTTCTTCTTCTTCTTCTTCTGTGAAACACAGGATGAACTGTGTGTATGATGACACAATGTTCTGAATCAGCTCTGGTCGTTCCTGCAGCTTCGTTTCGTCCATTGGCACCATACTGCCCATGTTCCTGGTGCTGGCGTTCATCTACACGGCCTGCCAGACCATCAAAGGCCTGGTTCTGGAGAAGGAGCTCCGTCTGAAGGAGGTTCTGCGGGTTGTCGGGGTTCGAAACTCTTCCATGTGGTTCTGCTGGTTTATAGATAACATGGTTCTGCTGACCATTCCCTGTGCTTTGATCTCGGTCATGGTGAAGGTTAGTGGCGTCGAAACTCATCGAAAAATCAAAGACAGAAATGTCAACTGAATAATCAATCAAAAAAGCAAGGATGCAAACTTGTCGCTTTATGGTGAAAATTGGCATTTGAAATGAAGTAAGAGTAAGTGCAGCACTGGGTTTATTTATACGCGAGCAGCTTGTGATTCTGTGTTTTCAGCGTCTCAGAGCGACTCGGTTCCCAGTAAATGCTGCTCCACACAACCTCCATCTCTGCAAGTGCTGGGAGTTTGGGTTGAGTTTGGGAACGTAACACATGCCAACAATTTTTTTTTTTTATTTTTACAAATTTGTAATGAAACATCTCTAAAAAAAGCTTTAAGGTTTTCCTGCAGTTTTCTGCCAAAATAAACATCAAAGAAATTAGACATTAGTATTGTAAATATTATATATTATATATATAACTATTACTATTGCAAATATGAATATGGATATTAATATTGTTAAATTATTTCATATTATAGTACAGTAGTATTATTACAATAGTAATGTATTTCTTTTTTTAGAATTTAATCAAATTAAACATTTTAATAATAATAATAATTATTATTATTATTATTATTATTATTTTATTGTTAATACTATTTTATAGCCATTTTTTATGGTGTATTTACTATAGTATCTCTTCATTAATTTGTTAATTTGTTTTAGAATTTAACAAAATAAAATACAATTGTTCACTTTTAAATAATAATAATATTAATATAAATTATTATTGATATTCAGTATAGTCATAATGAATTACTCAACTAAATTGAGAGTTTAAAGGTCTCCGTTTTGCATCTTGTTTACCTTTTTATCACTGATGAGTTTGCATCCCTGAAGAAGAAATTAAGCTGAATAATCAAACAAATCACAAAATAAGACCGAAAGAAAACAGAAATCAAGCAACATGATCACAAAGCATTTTGAGATTGCACAGCTCGCATTGTGAAGGTCAACATGAAATCAAATGTGAATGTGAATTCAGTAGTCATCTGACCATACAGTTCAGTCTGAGAGATCAGTTCAGTCTGAGCCAAATTCAAAATAAATTATTTTATTTGGTTTATGATATGCATACATGCTATGTTTTTCATCCCTTTTAGTTTGCACCCTTTTGAATACAAAGCATGAGAAATGACAAAGTCAAGCTACAATGCAATTCAAGTCATTAAGAAACATAGTTAGAAAAGCTCAAATGTGAAGTTAAAAGGCACAATAATCCATTTAGCAGAGAGGAAAGGAAGGTGCTTGTGTTGAGAGGTTGCACATTCATAAAGTCAAAGTGCTTTGTGGTTTTGATGCTCGTGGAAATAATTACAGGGAAACGATTACTCCAGAATTGAGGCAAATCAAGCAGAAACGGGTTGATCTTTGATTCCTCTAAATTGGGTTATTATGCTAATTTGATATGAACAGCATCAAATTCTTGATGATTCAGACCTCCTCCGTATCGCTCGCTGCCTCCCTCCATCGTCTTTTAAAGAGCTTTTTTTTTGGCAGTTTTCAGAGTATCTTGTGTTTATCTGCATGCAGATAAAGTGTTTGTTCCCTTGCTTTGAGGATTTGCCTGTTTCACACTTCTAGTGCTTCCACGTTTGCGTTCACAGGCAAAACTTATTTCCATTGAGTTCCAATAGCGGCCGAGATCTGGAGTCTGTTTCTTCTTAAATATTAATATTAATTAAAAATTGTGTGAATGTTGGAACTTGTTTTAAAGGAGCATCACACATCTGACAGCACTCTCGGTATGAGGGAGTTCCAGGAACATCCGCACAGCTTCAGACTGCCACAGGCGCTTTGGGTCTCTTTCTAAACTAAACTGCTCAGTCATGTCGTTCCCCGTGTCAGTTCATTTAGATTTAGTTCGTTCTCTCTGTCTGTTCGCGCCGGCTCTTCATGTTGGCGCTCAAAGTGAGAACTACAGTGTGCAGTGCTGGGAAAATCATCTTTTGTCAGTTCACTTCCCTCACAGACCTGAACTCCTCCAGAATGAGCTTTCAGTTTCTGTCAGAGACACTTCTGTCATCTCACTAATGTGTATCTCATTCACATGCTCGTACCATCATCATAAAACCGTTCATCGTCAGATTAAAATCCATATATTTAACATGCTGCTAACATGTTTCTAATGTTTAGTATGTTGTTAGCATGTTGCTAATATGTTTATAGCATGTTTAGCTTGTTGCTAGCATGCTTTAACACTATTGTAGCATGTTTTAGCATGATATGCACATGGCTAGCAAGTTTTGATATGTTGTTAGCATGTTTCTAGCATGTTTATCAAGTTGTTATTCTGAATTAACATGTTGTTAACACATTTTTAACATGTTGCTAGCATGTTTAGCATGTTTAACATGTTGATACCATGGATTAGCTTGTTGCTAGCATGCTTTAACATTATGGTAGCATGTTTCTAGCATCTTAGGCACATGGCTAGCAAGTTTTGACATGTTTCTAGCATGTTTATCAAGTTGTTATTCTGAACTGACATGTTGTTAACAGATTTTTAACATGTTGATACCATGAATTAGCATGTTGTTGGCATGTTTAACATGTTGATACCATGGATTAGCATGTTGCTAGCATGTTTCTAGCAGATTTAGCACATTGTCAGCATGGATTCTACCATGTTTCAAACATGTGTACCAAGTTGTTAGCCTGAATTAACATGTTTTTAACATGTTGCTAGCATGTTTTCAGCATGTTTTAACACATGGCTAACATGTTTTAGCACATTGTTGACATTAAATGGAATGTTGTTATCATGTTTCTAGCACATTTAACGTTATTAGCCTGAATTGTCATGTTGTCATGTTTTAGCACATTGCTAGCATGGATTAGCATGTTTTAATAAATGACTAACATTTTAGCATGTTGCTAGCATGTATGTTGCTATCATGTTAAGCATGTTGCGAACATGTTGCTAGTATGTTTATAGCATGTTGAGCTTGTTGCTAGCATGTTTTAAAACTGATACCAAAATGCTAAAACATGCTAGTGATGTGTTAGATCATGTTAATGGCATGTTAAAACATGCTAGCGATGTGCTAAGATATGTTATCTATCTGTCATTTTCCCAAGCGAACCTAATGATGTAGCACTGCACATTGCACATGTCATCATTATTAGTTATTATTTATGGCACATTACCGTGTTAAACTCGGCTGCTCTGTTACTGTGATTTTGGAGTAAAAATATCCGCCTTATTTTTCCCATAAGATCGGGCGCGGCCGTTTGTGATTTTTATGCATCTGGCTTCTGGTCTCATTCGCTTCCAGCTATTGTTAGCTGTACAAAACAGCTCTTTTTGCTGCTTGATATTGCAAATCGGTGTGTCTTACCATATTATTTTAATGGATTATCTTAATTATGAACACACTGGTTTGTAGAGCAAACAGTTTTACCATTTACTGCACTTTGCTATTCTTCTTGTTATTTCCCTTCAGCGGCTAATGAACCGGAAGTCTTGCACATTCACAGAAAACAGCTTACTTCCGTGTTAAAAAATAAGGTGGATACTGAGTACATGATTATCTGGGAAATAACAGACAGAATAACCTGGTTTCATTCTAATGGGAATACACAATATCTTTGTTATTTTAATACCAGCTTCAATATATTGAATTTGCATTGGGTTGAATTTCACTGTTCTTGGAAACCATCTGTGCATCTGTGCTGGGAATAAGTATGACCTAATCAGTTTTGACCAAATGTAAATTCATTTGTATGTATATTCTATAATGGAATACACAATAAGGAAAAGATGAGAAGTATACTAATGTTATAGCCGCAAACCAGTAGCGGAATCAGCTTTACCCTGCAGTCGTGTATTTATTTTTCTTGTGAAACAGGTCAATTCTGTGCTTCTCTAAGCTCAGGAAAAGGAAAATGACAGCTGGCCTGTCACAGACCCATTATAGAACTCCTTATAATCAGCGGTGTGATTATTCAGCTTTCTCAGCCTGTTACTTTCCGAAACTCTTTCATTGTCTCTTCGTTTCCATGGTGAAAATGGATAGAATGTGCAGGGAATCATCAGATTAGTGCTGAATTTAAAATTTAGCTAAAAATGTTGCATTACTGGGCGTTTATTAATCACTTTGGCTAAATGCATTGCTGTGTGCTTTCCTATTTAGATGCACTGACCATTTTTAAACAGTTCTATTGATTAAAAGCCAGAGTAGATGAGCTGATGGAGGTATGTTTTACCCATCATTTAAAAATTGTAAGGACTAGGTATGTATTTACCAGCAGGTTGACCTCTAAACACTTGGGAACCTAGGATATTATCGCTAACTTAAATTGTCATCAAAATCCTGATTGGATTCAGCCAGGATTTAGCAGAAATAGCGAATGTACTGTACATCAGCAAGTACTACATCATGCAGCAGTGTTGCAGATTTGGCAAATGCAAATTACATTGGATAGTGGTAACTTAAACTAATCAAACTACAGAACAAAATTCCGAAAACTCTGTTGGGGCCCCGAAGTGTAACAGGTATCATGCATATAGAAAAATAACAATGCCATAAAAAAGTGAAATGGCTTGTGTGTTTGATATTGAGTAGGCAGTTACAATTGTCCCCAGTGAGTCAGTCAAACGACACTTGAGTTTTAAGATTGCATGAGTTTAAAGATTGCATACTTGGGAGTCAAGTGGCCATGAAAGTTATTATTTGATGTATCTCAAATACTGTTAGGATAGAAAAAGAAAATATCCTTCTGTTGAGGTACAGTGACAATGAAAGTTCAGGAAGTGATGTTATGCCTCATTGTGATTGTACCATGAGGCACCACTCACTCACTGACAGCAGACTTCTGCAGGGAGCATAAACTTATAAATATGAGTGTAGGTAAGATAGTGTTGACATGTCTAGATCTGTGCACCTGCTGTGGGGCTGTCAGGTTGAAACAAGTAGTAGCAGTGCTAAAAAAAATCCATGTGCCGGAATAATCGTCTCCAGCGGTGTTGTGTAAATTGAGAAGAGATGTGGGCCACGCACCGAACCCTGCGGTACCTCGGTGATCGGTTGATGTGACTGTGACTCTCTTTCCCTCCAAGATACCCTGAATAATCTACCAGTGAGATGGATCTCAAGCCAGAGGGGTGAAGTTCCTGTGATGCCCATTGGACAGGAGTATTTTGTGATTTACTGTACTAAAGGCAGTAGACAGATCCAGTCAAATGAGGACAGACGACCTAGAGGCAGCTCTTTGCAGCCGCAGGGTTTTAGTGACATATAGCATATTTTCTGTGGTGTCCATGTTAAATGATTTATAGAAAACCTGTTAGTTTGGGAAGACCTCTGCTTGGTTGTATGGCCTGTATATATGTGAAATAACTCTTTGAATTAAGTTTACAAGGAGGTTTTCATGCTTGTTTGTGTGTGCATGTGCAGGTTTCTGCGATCTCTGAGTCGCTCCCTGCCTCTATATATGACTTTGGCGTGGATCTTCTCGGTTGCGTTGATAGTCAAGGGTGTGGTTCAGGAGAAGGAGGCTCGTCTGAAGGAGACTGTGAGGATGATGGGATTGAAGAGCTCCACATACTGGCTGAGCTGGGCCATCAGCAGCATGTTGCCCCTCGCTGTCAGCGCCGCACTCCTCACTGTCATTCTCAAGGTGATTAACGCTGATTCACTGCCATTCACAAACATTGCGGTACACTGGATCCAAGATCTGATCTGGAGTACACTGGATCAGAGAGCTTACTCAGCTTTGCACTAGTAGTGGTTCATAAACATTTTAGCCTGTCCTGCTGAAAAGATGAAAACCTGGTTAGACTCGGCTTAAATTCCAAGATAGTCTTAACTGTTTTTTATTAATAGACAGTAATGATCAATTAGTTGCTCAAGCTGGTAAAGCTGGATGCTGTTGCAGCTAGACCAACGTGCTGAGCATGAAAGGCAAAAAACAACAAAAAAAAAACTGTATACCATTATGGGCCTCAAGATGATCGAAAAAGTTTTTAAATAAACAAAATAAGCTTTACATTTTGGTAAAACAACTAAAAATCATCTTAATTTAATTCACCCGCAAACTTCTGAAATTGTACAATTCAATATGTTTAATTGGTTTATCAGTTTATTACACTTTTCATCATGTTTTCATATTTAACACTTTAGACTTGGAGTCAAAAAGGTTGGGAAGCGCCACAGTATACTGGTTACCAAAAAAGATCACCAGTTATTATTTATATACTTTGACAGTTGTTCATTGAACCTGCATCTAAATATAGTAACGACCAGAGGCATAATAAATAAACTGTAATAACCAAATGCAAACTGATTTTTGCTGCTTACTCATTGTTAGTGTAATGTATTGATTGCATATAGTTCATCAGTCTTGATTAGTAGGAACGTAAACATGAAGGCCATGAAGCCTAATGTACTCTGTAAAAACTGTTAACTTTATAATAAAGGACTATTTCTACATTATTAAACCGATAAAAATAGTTTTATTGGTATAAATTAATGTATTTAGGTTAATTCAGTGATGCTAAACAATATATTTGACCTTAATAAAAGCAGTTCAATTAGATGTTTATTTGTTTTCAGTGTGTGCAAATAAACTGTACGTTTACATGCAGTTATCAAAAGGTTATTTTAATCCAGGAATATTCATTTTTCACACGTTTGACAGCAAGTAGCATATGAAAGCAGGTCAATTTAAAATGAGATATTTTTTCTACTATTACAAATATTTTCTTCCGCATCCCAGAAATTGTGTCTGCCTAATATCCCAACTCTCATTTGAACATAATTTTCGCCCTTTTGTTCTTCCTCCAATCCATAATTTTATCATAGAAATTGACCAAGTGCTACCAAAAGCCAACAACTTACATTCACCAACACATAACTGTGAGGTATGTTCCTGAAGCACTTTATCATGAAATTAATGATAGCGATCATTTTATTTATTAATTAGCCAGTCAACCAATGGTGAACCACTGCTCTGTAGTGTCAAAGCTGGTGTCGGATCAAATGGTGCAGTGTTTGTGAATGGACGGTTTTGGTTGGGCAGCGTAACTCTGTGTGGGACCAGCAGGTTCAAGAACATGACAAATGAGCTTATATTCGAGTGCACACACGATTTATTTAGCTCAGTCCACCAGAGCCATGATGCCCACCGCTTATTCAATCACAGATCTGTCTTTTAATCAGCTCTCTCTCTCTATCACTGCTCTTGACAGATGTATTCTCTTCTCTCAGATGAGTTGCTTTTCAATGTGTTTGTAATTATCAGGTTGTATTATTAATGCATCCATGGAAACTCAAATGCAATGTTCATTAGAGGCTCTGAAAAGCTTTCACGCGGTTATGTCCGAATGTCTTCACGCTCCGTAGACGAATCCGTCTTTTGCCTCAGCAACTGTTTGACAATAACAATGTGGCTCCATTATTTTTCTCTCCTCTTCTCCCTCTCTCTCTCTCTTTCTCTCTCTCAGTATGGAAAGGTTCTGCGATACAGCGACCCGTCTGTGATCTTTGTCTTCCTCCTGGTCTTCTGCGTGGCCACTGTCATGCAGTGCTTTTTCATCAGTGTGTTTTTCTCTCGGGCGAATCTGGCAGCCGCCTGTGGTGGCCTCATCTACTTCCTGCTCTACCTGCCTCATGTGCTTTGCTACACCTGGAGGGACGTCATGGGCTTCGGCGCCAAGATCGCCACGGTGAGACATTCAACACACCTCTGCAGCAACCCGGAGGACTCGTGTCCTAATACATCTAATCATCAGATGCTGAAAGCAGATCCAGAGTCAGGAGTTCTGAAAGAAGTGCACTTAATTGTATTGAATGGGCACTTGTAGTGTACTTCAAATCTTACAAGTATATTTGCATATAATGTAATATTAATTAATTAAAAGACCACTTAAGTGACTTAAACAGCAACACTTTCATGACTATTTCTAACACTTAGATACACTTTTTAAAGTGACATTTGTAATAATGTCAAATTAAAAGTTTCACTTTAAATTATTTTAAATCATATTTTAATAATCTGTTGTCGTGTTTTAAAGAAGTACACTTATTTTGATGTGTTGATTAACATACTAAACCCCATGTAAATAACTTGATGATCATTTTAACTAGTGAGTTATTCAGTATTACATTTAATATATTTTAAATGCACTAATTTGGAATTTCGTAATTTCAGATGTTTAATTGCAAATGTTTAAGTACACTTTGACCATATTTCAAAGACAATAGACGTAATTATGAAATTGCATATAAATATGTACTTAAGTCCTACTTAAGTGGGCCAGAAACATTCTAAAGTTGCATTTAATTTATTTTTTAAACTATAATGCATTTTCATTTAATTGCATTTAACATTCAGTTAAGTGTCTGAAAACATTATATTCAGTTCACACTTAAGTATACATTTTTAAAGTATTTTTATGTGTAATAAATACTCTTTTTAAAAGTATGCTAAAGTGTACTTTTTGTTATAAACATTTTTATTATTATTATTATTATTATTATTATTATTTGCCAAAAAACAAAAACAATAAAGAGAAAAAAAAAATGCAAGTATAACAACATTAAGTATATTCTTTTAAACTATATTATTTATTTAAAAAGTACTAATTTTAAAAGAGTGCTACTTCTTTTTTGGACAAAAAAAAATACAACAAAGCCCAAGATCTGCCCAGAATCATGAAACAAAAGAGAAGAAAAATGTGTACTTTTTTTACAAGAATCTGCAGAGTTAGAAATAAGGAGAGAAAAGAATGTGTTATTTGACCTGTGCATTCATTTAATGCGTCACTTACTCACACAGACTGAATGAAGCGCTCAGCTCTTCTTAAGGTACAAATCCACAGGATGAGATTTTGATCTCTTCTGGAGAAGCTCCTCCATTCATCTCCAGTGAGGATGTACATTAGTACAAGAGAGAGAGATAGCGATGACCCACACCTGAAGAGAAGAGCGATGGACGGGCACTTTTGCCCTTTGAGAACTTAAATCCCAAGAAACGAGGCTAGCCTGTTTTCTGTTAATGGAATTATACGCACATCCCATCCAATAAATCGCAATAAGCTTTGTGCTTTGTTACTTTTGATATTAAACAAGTCTCAGATATGTATATATATATACACACACACACACAGAGAGAGAGAGATACTGTTTATTTTGAAATTGTTGATGGCAGTAATGCTGCTGTTTTGATCTCATATTCATACCAGAGTAAAAATGCACATGGCGGGAGAAAAATTTACATTTATATTAATGGCATGGATCAGACGTGTGTCTGACCTCTCCATCTCCGTCTCAACAGAGCCTGCTGTCGTGTGTGGCATTCGGATACGGCTGTGAGAATCTATCCCGTTATGAAGAGCAGGGCATCGGCATTCAGTGGAGCAACATCCGGGTCAGTCCGCAGGAGAACGACCGCTACTCCTTCATCGTCTCCATCTTCATGATGCTGTTCGACGCGTTCATTTACTGGGTTCTCACCTGGTACATCGAGAATGTCTATCCGGGTACGATGCTCTGAAAACATTCATAAAGCTAGAAAACATCTCATATTTATTTTTTTTTCTTGATGATTTGAAATAAAAGTATGTATCATGTGACAAAGGATGTCTTATGTTTACCAAGGCTGCGTTTATTTGATCAAAAATACAGTAAAAAAAGAGAAATATTATTACAGTTTAAATAACAGTTTTCTATGTGAATATATATTAAAATCTAATGTATTTCTGTGATGCGCAGCTGTATTTTCAGCATCATTACTCCAGTCTTCAGTGTCACATGATCCTCAGAAACCATTCTAATATGCTGATTTGCTGCTCAATTTGTTTTTCAGATTGATTACAAATATTTTATAAAATAAATACAAATAAATAAAAAAACTTTTTAAATTAAAAACATTTAATGTAACTTTTGATCATTTCAATGGGCCCTAGTTGAATAATATATAAGTTGAATATAAATAAATAAAATATAAATCGTTAAATAAAAAATCTAATAATTTCAAACAAATTAGTTTCTTCCTTTAAAATTTCTAATTATCCAGAAAAAAAACAAAAAAACTGAAGAATAAAATGTATCATGCTTTCCACAAAAAATATGAAGCAGCACAACTGTTTTCGACATTGATAATAATCAGAAATATTTATTGAGCGGCAAATCAGCATATTAGAATGATTTCTGACAATCAGCTTTGGTCACAGGAATAAATTACATTTTACAATATATTCACATAGAGAACAGCTATTTAAAACTATATTATTTCACAATATTACTGTTTTTACTGTATTTTTGATCAAATAAATGCAGCCTTGGGGAGCAGAAGAGACTCAAAAATGTTTAAAAAATACATTTGAATGCTAGAGTGCATTAGTAATTAATATGCTGGTTCATTATAAAGACCAGACGTGAATCATAGATGTAATCTAGCTCACACCGAAAGTGAAAGAAAAAGCAATCCAGCTCTTCACATGCGAGACTCAAATGTCCATTTAGTGCAAGATACAAACTGTCTGATAAAACTGTAATGCAGTGACAGTGAGATATATGAATATATTATAGTGTAATGCTAATAATAGAGGGGTAAAAGTAATGAAAGGGTGCTTCACAGATACAGTACATTTGTACATTTAATACATTCCTGGCTTTTACTTTCAGACCGTGTATTTTTCCTGATGTGAATAGGTTTCAGTTTTCAAGTCCTGATCATGAGAAATATTCACTTCCATTATGAGTTTGTGATTTCTGTTTCTGGTGCAAGAATCCTGACTAACGTACATGGACTATATATAAAGTATATATTTAGCCAAGTCAAATGTATTTGTACAGCACTTTTCAAGATAAATATTGTTTCAAAGCAGCTTTACAGAAAACCATGATGAATAAACTGTATGTATGTATGTAGATCAAATTGGACGTGCTTAAACACTTGTTTGTGTCTTTCTTTAGGTCAGTATGGCATCCCGAAGCCGTGGTATTTTCCCTTCACGTCCTCGTACTGGTGTGGGACTCCAGTGGGATCTGATGCCCAACCCGACCTGCTTCAAGAGCTGGAGAATCAGAGCGGTAAACAAACACACACACACACATTCTCTCTCACTCTCACTCTCACACTCACACTCACACTCACACTCAACACACACACTCTCACAATCACTCTCTCACACACACACACACACACACACACACACACACACAGCATGCAGATCTGAACAGACAATTCCCCGTCAGAATCCAGCTGAATGAACGTGTGTGCCGCAGGTTACCTGGAAAAGCCTCCGCCTGGAATGAAGCCTGGAGTTTGTATCAGAAACCTGGTGAAGGTCTATAAGACAGGAAATAAACTGGCCGTGGACGGACTCAGTCTGGACTTCTATCAGGATCACATCACCTCGTTTTTAGGACACAACGGAGCCGGAAAAACCACCACCATGTGGGTTACACTTGTCTCATACACCTTGAGCAATAACACGCTAGATGCTTTGAACCCCGTCAAAGTTCAGTTTATTTGGTTGAAATTTCAAACTGTTGTTTTTGGGAACTTGAAATGTCAGTCTGGTTTATGGTGCAGAGTTTTCACAGTTGCTGTGAAGTCAAATGCTATGATGATGACGTATAATTAGCATATTATAGCATTATAAATGTCGTATTGCTTGTCTACTCGGACCATTTTTGGTGTCACTTGCACTGGTAATGCAGGGTTGAATAGACAGTGAAATAAAATAGAATTGAACAAATCTATTTTTCAATATAAGAAAAACAGATAACCTATGGAGTTGTATATTACTTTAAAGTGGAATAAATATGATGAAGGCTCGAAGTTTTTTAATAATATGATATTCTTAAATATCTTCGTAAATTCTTAAAAAGTATGTGTAGAAGTTAAAAAAGACAAAATGGTAGATTATTACTATAGCCCAGAGAATATTTGGACATGCATTGAGATATTTAGACTTGTGACTCAAGTCTATAGTTTATATGTGTGTATATATATATATATAAATAATACTAAAATAACACTGCAATTCTATGCAAGATATGAACTAAGTGGCATAAGGAAGTAGTTGTACACATGAGCGTTTTATGAACAAAAACCTGAAAAATATTAGATGGAAAACTTAAACTTAAAGTTAAAATTAAAAAAAAATGAAACAAAATTTCGAATTTATTAACTTAAAGTATAGCTATAATTTATTTGAAGGAATACAAATACTAACATTAAAACTGAAATAAAAATAAAAAAATTTAAATGATAAAAATATTAATATTAAAAAACAATTAATTAAAAGGATAAAATCAGATAACAAAACGACTAAAATAAAAAAATAATAATGAAAATATGTATGTTATATATGTTTTGCAGGTTGTGTATGCATAGTTTAAACAACTATAAAACATATTAGACTTAAAAATACCTCATTGCATTAGATAGAAAATATGAAAGTGAAATCTACAAACAAATGACGCTGGACTAACTTTTCTGAGACACTTTTTAAATCATGTTTAAGCCGCTTCTCTCACGGTCAGAAAAACAGCAGACAAACACAGATGCAGGTCATCACATTAACTGCAGAGTTTACGAGACTCTTGTCATTTCAGTTTAAACTATGTATTTGCATCGTTGCATTCATCGTGTGAATCATTTTAATTGAAACGGGTGCTTGTGTTATATTTCTTAAAACGTAATAAATTATGTTTTTTTTTTTGTGCAACGCATGCATGCATTTTTAATTGTAACTTAAGTGCCACTGTATATATTATGCACACACTTAATACAGTTCTACAGAATGCAAAGTAAAAAGCGGCATGCGGTGTCTAAACATGAAATCTCCCATACATTAGAGGCTTTAAAGCTCATGTTTATTTTCATTTATGTTCACCAGGTCGATACTGACGGGTCTTTTCGCTCCCACCTCGGGTACGGCTTACGTTAACGGCTACGACATCCGCAGCGACATGGACACCATCAGGACTCACCTGGGAATGTGTCCACAACACAACGTCCTCTTCAACGAGTAAAACCTCCTCCACAAACACAGACACACATAAGAGGAAACAGATTCAGTGTTGCATTTGTTCAGGATCTGAATACTGGAGCATCTGAACTCTGAAAAATCTGACAACAAGGTTTGACAGCTAATGCCAGAGTTCACCAAAATGTTCTTTCAAAACAAATACTTCAAAAAAAAAACTGGAGGTAATCACAGTTCAACTCCAAAATGGTTTTGCATGCAAAAAAGATTTTTCAGCGATGAAATGATCTCGAGTTCAGTTTTATTCTACGACTGAGGCATTAATCTCTCACAATTCATACATATGCATGAGAAACACAGGATATGCATCATGCATAACAAAGAATGTTAGCTTTCTTCACGTGAATATTTTAGTTAACCTGTGGATGTGAATATCTTTACCCAACTAATAGCCCGTGTCATTATTGTTAACAAAAACTATTAATAATTATTTAATTGAAATAAAGCGGACATAAAATACAAATAAAATATAGATAACCTAAACTTAGAAAACCTAAATGAAAATTAGAAATGTTACTTTGACAGCTAACTTAAATGATTTGAAGTGCTAAAATTATAATATTAAAATAAATAAAATTAAATAAAATTAAAAATAAATGTAAAAAAGCTAAACGTAAATATATATTTTTTTAAACTTATAAAAATGATAAAAGCACATACAATTACTAAAACTTAAACTTAAATGAAAACTGAATAAAAGCTAACTAAAATATTAATACATATTATAATAATATATGAATAATATTAAATAATGCTGAAATCTTGCGCAAGATATGAAATCAGTGACATAAGATATTAGTTGTACACATGAGTGTTTTATGAACAAATACCTGAAAACTCATCTCCTTTAAATATAAAATACAAAAATAAATATTAGAAGACAAATTTAATCTTAAAATAAAATTAGAAATTTTACCTTGACAGGTAACTTAAATTATTTGAAGTGTTAAAATGACTAGAATTAAAACTGAAATATAAAGATACATAGAAATATAAACAACTGAACATAAATAATAGAAATGAATAAATAATAGAAATAATAATAAAATAGAAAAAAGCAAAAACATGACAAAAACACATAACACAAATTAAAATTAAAACAGAAAATATGAAAATAAATGCTACTGTAGTTCAAAAATATTACTAAACACAAATAGCATATAAATTATACTAAAATAATACCGAAATCAGTAAGAAAGTAGTTCTATACAAGAAAAAACCTGAAAACTCATCTGTTCTCCTCTCCTGTTTATGACTATATATTCTATATTTCTGCACAAGTATGTGTGACTATTGCATATGTTCTGTCTGTGTGTATATAAGTTATCATCTGTTCATGTGTGTATGTTGTTTGTTTCAGCCTGACAGTGGAAGAGCACATTTATTTCTACGCTCGTCTGAAGGGTCGGAGCTCTAAAGAGGTGCAGAAGGAGATTGATCAGATGATTCGAGACGTGGGTTTGCCTCACAAACGCAAAGACCTCGTCAAGAACCTCTCAGGTGTGTTTGCATCAGCAGCGCCCATCAGTGTTGGGGAAGTTACTTTTAAAAGTAACAAAAAGTAATCTGATTACGTAACTCGCGCTACTTGTAATGTGTTACCCCCAACACTGGCGCTCTGTTCGCACTCTTTCTGTGGAGATTTGCCAGCTGTCTGCTGTCTGTGTGCAGGTGGGATGCAGAGGAAGCTGTCGGTCGCCATCGCGTTCGTGGGAGGATCCAATGTTGTGATTCTGGACGAGCCGACAGCGGGAGTCGATCCGTATGCGCGCAGAGGCATCTGGGAGCTGCTGCTCAAATACAAAACAGGTGAGAGAAATTAACCTGTGCACAGAAAGTGGAGGGATTGTTGCATTGCATCGGGGCATAAATAATGTGCAATTAACAACAAACTGTAGTCCAGGAATCTTGCATATGAGTGACTTAAGGTGCAGTCACACTGGGACAGACATTTCATTTTTTCCCAAAGTTTAAAAAGTTAGGTGCACAATTAAAAAAAATAAATAAATAAATAGTGATGCAGTGAAAATGTATTTATATTCTCAGTAAAGGGATAAAAGGAGACATTTAAAACAAAACGATTTGATGTATTATAAAACAAAAAGTACGGTTACACTTTATTTTAAGGTGTTCTTGTTACAGTGTAATTATACATATAAGTACTGAGTAATATTAATTAACTACATGTATTTACTATATGGTTAGGTTTATGTTTAGGGTTACGTGCATGTTATTATGCATAATTAATTGTTATTATAATAGTAAGTACATGTAACGTGTAACAAGTACACCTTAAAATAAAGTGTTACCAAAAGTACTTTAGGTTTTTGAATATTTCTGCTTTAAACTGTATTTAATAATCATGTAATTAATCATAGGCCTACTTTAAACTGTATATATTACCATTGCCGTTTATTCAAAAAGATGAGGGAGATTAAATATGCACTCTTACAACAAGTCACAACATACTGCAATATTAACATTATAAAGTAAATAATGTCTTTATTCATCGACAGTGGATCATAAGCAGTCTGTTGGCAGAAGTGTGCATTATTCATTAATTGTGAATTGCTCTGAAAGAACATGCGATAGTGTCGTTGTTGTAAACGTGCAGCACACACATTTATTTAATTCAGTCAGTCATAGACTTTAGAAGTTTATTAATCATTACAAGATTTACAAGTTTATAAATGCTGCGATGCATGAAGCACAACTCACTCAGAAATCACATTCAAAGCGCAGCATGGGGAACTTTTCCATCCTCACACGAAAGTCGCTATCGCACGGATTCCTATAGAAATGACTGATTTTGCTCACAAAATTTCTCAGAGCAACACTGGATGTTACGGCACCTTTAGCTGTGGCTCGTAGATGTTGGATGTTCCTGTTGCACAGCTGGTAGGTCATGAGGTCAGTTACCAGGGATGCACGTTTACATTCATGCATTAAAGTCCCCATGAAATCAAAATTTAAGTTTTTTGGGTGTTAGTATCAATATGTTAGTCTTAAGGTTATCTATAAGGCAGTGTGCTCCAAAATAGTGACACAATTCGCATTTAGAAGATATAAGCATTCAAAGCTTGCAGTTTGTCACTTCCGCCAAAACGGCTCAATGATTTTTTTGACGTCACATCTTCTGACCAATCAAACGCTCTCTAGAAGCCGAAGCCTACAATGTAGGCGAGAGGGAACGATTGAGATAGTGTAAATATGCTTTTGATTGGGGCAAATGAGGTCTGGTTTCACGTTGCTTCACGCGAACCGTGGCAGCGAGCAAAGTCTGATCCGGACTTTGGCTCCGGTCCAGAGACGCGATCGCATGGAGGTGATCATGCGCGAGTGGGCATATATTAAACACTTTTAAAACTACACAGCCTCAGCATAATTATGATCACTATTTTGTTTCTACTAAGAGTTTCATATTGAATCTAGGGGGTAGTCTATTAGACTGTGGCTGTCAAATGCGGCTTTACCGAGCTCAACGGCTCTGACCCGTGCAGATATAAACAAAACGCTATTGGCTAATTGAAAAAGGGGGCGTGGCTGCTCGATATGTCCCGCCCTGTCTTCCTGTTTCAGTTGAATTTACGTCACCACATAGAATAACGCTGCGTGTTTCAAGGCACTTCAGGGGACCTTTAAGCAGACAAAGTGGTCAGAGAGACAACAACATCCTTGTTTTTCACCCATCTAGAATCTCCGAATCTCACTCTCAGCCACATGAGCTTGGATCTGCTGCAGAAATTTGGCAGCCCTTTCCATCTCAGGCCAGAGAACATGGTGATCAATGGTATCAAAGGTTCTGGCAGGTCGATAAAAGCAATGAGCCGGTCTGAATCGTTTCTGAAGGTGCTCTGTAGGATTTATGGGGTTAAAGCGCTGGAGCAGAACATCGTGACTCTCTCAGTAGCTTGTCCGAGATGCCACAACTGCTTCTGCCTGTCACGCTTTCGCTTATGAATTGTGACAGTGCTCTTTCCGGTTTTGAGCAATGATTTGGTTCCTACACGCTGTGAAGGTGAAGACTTTGTGCAGAAGGTCCTCAGGCCTGCACTCTTGTCGTTCTTATGTCCTGCAGAGTTCGGCTCTGAGCTGCTCCAGCAAACTTAGGAAGTGTTTAGTGATCCTGTAGACCTAGATTAGCTGGTTCAGGAGTGTTTGATTAGGGTTGGAGTTAAACTCTGCGAGATCACAGGTAACAAGGGACGTCCTCGGAGCTTTCTGGTAAGGTTCTCTCAAACGTTCTTCCAGTGACGTTAATAGAAGGAGTTACCTGGGCTTTACTAATGTTCTCAAAACGTTAGCAAATAAACATTATTTATACACTGTTCATGGCACGTTATATTTCTGAAAGGATTTGGTTGGAATTTCATTTAACATTTTTTTTTTTAAATGTTACTATTTGTTTCAGAATGTTCAGAGAACATTCAAAAGTAACATTCCCTTAATGTTTGCATAACCAAAATAGAACGTTATGATCACAGTGAAGCTCTAAGACCAGAATGCAATGTGGTAATGGCAGAAATTGACATTTTTGAGACACTTGAGAGGTTTTTGTAGTGCAGTGGTTTTCATGCATCAGCTATTCTTCTAAAGTTCGTACTTAAAGGGATAGTTTCCCCAAACATTTACTCACCTTCAAGTTGTTTCAAACCTGTATTAGCATTGTTTTTCTTCTTCTGTTGAACACAAAAGAGGATATTTTGAAGAATTTTGGTAACCAAACAGTTGACGGCAGCCATTGACTTCCAAAAAAAAAATACTATGGAACTCAATGGCTGCCGTCAACTACTTCGGTTACACACATTCTTCAAAATATCTTTGTGTGTAGTTGCATAATACGATGTTATTATATTATATTAAGATTGATTCTTCTTGAATATGAAGTCATTTTGCCTAACATAATGTAACTAAAAATAATTTTCCAATAGAATATGATACTTACTCATGAATTAGCATGGATACATTTTAAATGTAATTGACATTCAGAAACTGTGTTTGAATAAATAAATAAAAAACATAAATAGATTATATTTATTTATTATGATACCGTTGCATAAAGCAATATATACTATATAGCAAATCCCAACTGCTTAGTTGCTTGTAAATGTCACTATGTTATCATCCAGCTGCTTTGAAACATTGTGTATTGTGAAAAGCGCTATACAAATAAATTTGATTGATTGGACTTGATTGATTTAATTTGACATGCGGATGGATGATGCACACAGAGACGTGCTGTTTAGATCGGGTTCGTGTTGAAGAGCTGCTAACAACTCATTCATTCACATAATGCTCTCTCTCTCTTAAAATCTAAACAAGTGTAAATGTCAGCATGCTGTATGTCTAAAGGATTGAGTCTGTCAGATAAAGCAAGAGCTTTTCGATGCAATTCAGTCAGTGATGTTATTCTCTGTTCTTACCGACTTTTCACTTGACTTTTTGGTATTGTTATAACACTGTTCTGCAGTGTTTCTTACTTCACTATCTTTGTTCTGTTGTGTTTATTTGTCTTGTCCTTTGTGATTAATGTCTTACGTCCCGTACTTCTGAGATGTCAGCATTAAACTCTGCTGCACTGTGCAGCTTGTTAAATCCGTTATAACAATATCACACGTTTAATTTATAATTATTGTCAATACTAATAAGTCCTGCGGTCCTCCGGGGACTGAACTCGCATATTCAGCCCATTTCAGCTGGATAGCGTGTGTAATTAGAGAGCAGCTGATGATTGTTTGATTAGTGCAGCCGATTATTGTCTGATTAATAATTTGGGAAAATTAAATGATGTGCACTAGTGCAGTTAATTGGGCCGAGAATGGCCTTTTGATGTTTATGTAGTTTTCTACTCTGAAAAAAAAATGGTGTAGAAACAAATTTAAATCTGAAAATGCTAGTAAATTTCACAAATTACAAAGAAATTACAAAAAAAACATGTTGGATTAAATGTGAAATTTTGAAGTAGAAAGACTGAAATAGTATTTTCATGTAAAAAAAAAATCAATCAGCAATCTTCATTTTTACTTTGAACCCACACACACACACACTTTTTTTTTTTTTTTTTTAAGTACAGTATAAACTAACCCCATATTTTAGTAGAGCAGAGATATTCAAGCTATGTGTGTAAAATGAATTAAAAAGTAATGGAGATCTGTTGTGTTTTCAGATTTTAAAGCATTGCTAATACAAGACATTTACATTTAGAGATCACATTGATGTATTGTGTTCCATTCGATTTATTCTTCTTGCGGAAACCCTGTACATACAGCTCTGCGACAAAGAGTTAAACACGTTTTCCATTTCAAAGCTTTGTTTTTATAGTCAACAGACACTCATCGTGTCCAGATCGCTGCTTTACAGCGTCCAACATCAGCGTCTCTCAATATAAACGCGAGTTTCTCTGCCAGGTTTGACGTCTGCCTTTGGGAAGCGCAGATGCATGATATTTCATGATATTTCTGCTCTCGGCAAGTCAAAGGACAGACGCCTTGAACTCCCACTGCCTCGTCACACAGGCAGAGCAGAAATAATGCCGGCGCTGAGCCCCGCGGGTGTCTGGCTTCAGCGGGAGCTCCGGCGAATACAAAACACTTTTTCTATACAGGCAGAGAAAGAGTGAGATATAAAGGCATCTATATATAGAGCATGCTGTTTTCCAGTGCACCTGCACTTCAAACACGTCCTATCCCATGCAAATGAGCACGAGCCCTTCAGAAATGCACGCTCGCTGCTGAACTTTGATGTTTTTTCTCTTCCAGGTCGTACCATCATCCTGTCGACGCATCACATGGATGAAGCGGATATTCTGGGCGATCGTATCGCCATCATCTCGCACGGCCGCGTCTGCTGCTGCGGCTCCTCGCTCTTCCTCAAGAAGACGTACGGTAGAGGCTATTACCTGACGATCGCGCGGGCCAATCAGGAGCGAGTCATGGCACAACGAGCCCCAGCGATTAAAGAGGTGAACTAGCCCTGACAACACTCAAAAATCAGTCAACCGTTTGTTCAGTTTACTTTATTTGTACCCTTAGTTGAATTAGGTTGCAGTGAACAAGTTCAGGCCTTCTACACACAACACAAACAATAAAATAGACAAACACACAAAAAAATATATATATTCATATCATATTCAATGATATTCATTGTTTTTTAGAGTATTATTTATATATTATTATAGTATTTATTAATACTCTGAATTAGCTTTTTTATATTTTCAGTTTTCATTGTAAGCTTTAAGTTATAGTAATGTATTATTATTTATTATTAAACTTATTTCATTTCTGATTTTCATTTGTTATCAGATAGTTATATTTGAATTTATTTTAGCTTTATTTCAATTAACTTTTTTGTCATTTTATTTAAAAATAACAACACTGGTAATATTTACAACAGAGGTGTCCAACTGTTTTATTAAGGGCCAAAAATTATACTTTACTGAGGGCCACTTATTGTGGGCCAAACATTTTGAATTATATCCAACTCTAATATGTGACCCTGGACCACAAAACCAGTCATAAGGGTCAATTTTTCGAAATTGATATTTATACATCACCTGAAAGCTGAATAAATAAGCTTTCCATTGATGTATGGTTTGTTAGGATCGAGACAATATTTGGTCAAGATACAACTATTTGAAAATCTGGAATCTGAGGGTGCAAAAAAATCTAAATATTGAGAAAATCATCTTTAAAGTTGTCCAAATTAAGTTTTTAGCAATGCATATTACTACTCAAAAATTTAGTTTTGATATATTTACAGTAGGAAATTTACAAAATATCTTCATGGAACATGATCTTTACTTAATATCCTAATGATTTTTGGCATAAAAGAAAAATCAATCATTTTGACCCATACAATGTATTGTTGGCTATTGCTACAAATATACCCCAGCGACTTAAGCCTGCTTTTGTGCTCCAGGGTCACATATATTAAAATGTGCACTTTTTATCAACTTGACCTATTTTTGGTACATTTCAATAATAAAATATATATATATAGAAATTAAGATATGCTTCAATACCACTTTTTGGGCCCTGATGTGGGCATATCGGATTTATCATATTAAGAAATTACAAGATATGCACAATTTTTAAACCTCAAAGGGGATTAATTTAAAGGCACTGCTGTTCCTAGAGTGTTTTACCTTGTAAAATGTCAAAAACAGCTAAACAACACTGTCAGGTAAAACTAGTTGAACTAGTTGACTAGTTATCTCCCATCCCTACTAGCAACCATGTGGTTAAAGTTTTTAACTTTGCCTTCCATATTTATTTGTGTGTGTGTCCGACAGTGTGATAAATTCAGCGTGGATGAAGGAATCTGCAGTGACAGCATCAGCAGTCTGGATCCGCCAGGTTCACAGCTCACTCGCTCTCTAATGAACACACTCACAGTGTCATTATGCAACTGTATAAATGTATTTTTCTGTTCCTCCTGATCAGACGTGGCGGATCTGAGTCGACTGGTGCGGCGGCACGTGCCGGAGGCCGAGTTTCTGGAGGTCGTAGGTCAAGAGCTGGTGTACGTGCTGCCGTATACAGGCGCCACAAACGGCAGCTTTGCGTCCCTCTTTAAAGAGCTGGATCTGGAGAAGAGCGCTCTGGGCATCACCAGCTACGGGATATCAGACACTAGTCTGGAGGAGGTACACATCGGGTCACATCGGTGACATTTACACTTGTGGCCCATTGTGTTTCTACCACTTTACACCAATGCATCGGTTTGCGTTTCACATTTGGCTTTGATGAGCAAATGCAGAGCTGCAGATAGTTAGCTGCAGATCAATGCATCACACCGACTATTGATTGATCAAAATCATTAAAGGTCTTATTAAATTGTGCATAACCTGAATTAACATTAATGACCGCATCCCTCTATTTTACTCTAAACACATCAATTACATGGCATTTTCAGTTCACTTCATCGAAAGGCTGATACCAAATAGACCAGTAAACCAGTCTGTTTAGTTGAACTTATTTAGGAATTTTATATAATATTAATTTTCAGTGTCACAGATGCAGAAAATAAAAACCATATATATATATATATATATATATATATGATTGATTGATTGATTGATTGATTGATTGATTGATTGATTGATTGATTGATTGATTGATTGATTGATTTGTGGAAAACCATGATGCATTTTATTTTCATGATTCTAAGAGTTCAAAAGAACAGCATTTATTCAAAAAGGAATTATTGTGTAACATTATCATTTATTTACTGTCACTTTTGATCAATTTCATGTGTCTTTGCTGAAAAAAAGTATTAATTTCTTAAAAAGTAAATTAAATCTTATTTTTTATTTTTATTTTTTTGTATTGAAACTGCAACTTTTCCAGCTGAAGCTGTGGAGTAACACAATTTCCTGGTGTTTAATTTCACAGATTTTTCTGAAGGTGGCTGAAGACACGGGTGTTGACGTGGAGTCCCATGGTAACCTCATATATATTAATATTCATTTCATTTTACACTTTAATATAAAGTATCACCATCTCAAAAGTTTATATAAGATGCTTGAAAATCCATATGACAAGTTACTGATATGAAATGTCATTTTAAAAGGAGTACATCTCTCTTTAATAATAATAATAATAATATACTCTTTAATATAGTTTATACATTACTTTATTGTTTCTGTTTTTACCAGTCGTATTTTAGGCCATTTTAGGGTTCCTCTCTTTAACTGTTGCTGCATCTATGTAAATGATGCTGACGCTTTGCAAAGCTGGACTACATGGTGACAGTTTCATAAAACAACTGCACTGAAATGTGCCACTCAAGCTGTTAAATTTAGATTAAAATGTTCAGGGATCTTGTTAAATGTAAACCTGGACCTCTCCTTTCTAACAGTGGGAACCTTTAGAAGGATATTCGGTTTATTTTAAGGGCCTTACGGTTTGTCTTTGATAAGAACAGGCGACTCAAATAAGGGCTCAGATGAAGTGTTGCAATTGTACTCTCCTGTCTCACCTCAGAGTGTGTGTGATCGTGTGTATAAGTGGGTTAATGCGTGCGCAGATAAGAACAGGCCAGATGAATAAGCTGAAAGTATCACACTCCTCCAGAATAACCTCTGTTGTGTGTGTGTGTGTGTGTGTGTGAGTGTGTGTTAATGTCTCACAGATAAGAAAGAAAATCTTAAACAAAAGCGCAGAAGCAGCTCAAGGATATCAGGAATACAGACTATCAGCTCAGCACTGGAAGGCAAAGATGCAAACGCTGTGAAAAATGGTGCGCTCAAACGTAAACTGACACATATATCCACTGTACGCTTATATGTGTATGGAAATAAACATACTGGCCCATTCGTTTACAAGCTGATCTTTTGAAAAATTCAACTGATACTGAGAAAATAATGGCTTTGTATCATATCACTGCTCTGTATTTTTTCCTCCTTGTTTTGAAACAGATGCAAAGGTTAGATTCACTAGTCGCGTGGAGGGTAAGTCAAAGTTCTTCCTTGTTTCCAACACTAAACATGTAATAGTAAGCCAGCTGTATGAGTGAGCTAGCTGTAGTGATAAGGCAGCTTTAATAATTATGGTTACTGTAAGCTGTAATAGTGAGGTGACTGTGAAAGTGAGTTATCTGTAACTACCGTTGAACAGTTTAGCTGTGCTACAGTATTGTGGTACTCTAGTTTCAGGCTAATGATACAGTATTTTCACAACAGTAATTTTGTAATGTATGGATGTAAATATCCAGCGCTTAAACTGAACTTGAATGTAACAATGAAGTGCTGTAACTGTGGTAGCTAAAATAATTGAGGCAGCTATTACTGTATAGTTGAGTCAACTCATAGTTAAGATAGCTGTAACAGTGATTCATTTGTAACAGTGAGGTGGCTTTAAAAGTAAAGTAGCTGTAACTGTGCGGTATATGAAGTAGCTGAGGCTGGTGTAATAGTTAAGGTAGCTGTAACAGTGTGACTGCTGTAACAGTGTGGTAGCAAATATATTTGAAGCAGGTGTAAAAGTTGAGTCAGTTGTAACAGTTAATGTAGCTGTAACAATGCGGCACTGTAACAGTAAGACGGCTGTAAAAGTTAAGTTAGATGTGTAACAGTGAGGCAGCTGTAACAGTGTGGTAGCAAATATATTTGAAGCAGGTGTAAAAGTTGAGTCAGTTGTAACAGTTGATGTAGCTGTAACAATGAGGCACTGTGACAGTAAGGTGGCTGTAACAGTTAAGTTAGCTGTGTAACAGTGAGGCGGCTGTTACAATGTGGTAGCAAATATATTTGAAGCAGATGTAATAGTTGAATCAGTTGTAACAGTGAAGCCGCTGTAACAATGAGGAACTGTAACAGTGTGGCAGTTATAACTGTGGGGTCGATTAAGTACTTCAGACAGCTGTAATAGTTAAGGTAGCTATATAAGTGAGGCAGCTGTAACAGTAAAGGTGGCTGTAACAGTGAGGCAGATGAAGTACTTGAGGCAGCTATAATAGTTAAGGTGGCTGTAACAGTGAGGTAGCTATAATAGTTAAGTAAGCTGTAATATTTCAGACTGTAGTAGTTAAGCACTGTGTGAGACTGTTGTTTATGTTACAGACACCCAGCGGCCCATGTGTGCGAATGGCAAAGGGTCGTACGTCATCATGGCTTGGTCACTGATCAAACAGCAGTTTTTAGCTCTTTTTATCAAACGTTTCCACCATGCCCGCAGAAGCCGGAGGGGAATCATCGCTCAGGTAAAACCATCAGACACATAAAATACCCCGTAAAAACCCTCTTGCACTCGTTTTGCTCCTTCAAGTAAATCTCTCTCTCTATTTTACATTCTGTAGCTGTGTGAATTTAATAGGTTTAGGCAGGTCTGAGCTGCAGCATGAATCCAAGCAAAACTGTTTAGCACCAAATGCACTGGCCCATCAAAAACAAAAACGCTTGTCTGTGAGCTCATGAACATGTTCTTTAGCAAAGCATGAGCTCAATGTGTTTGAGCTCAGGAACTGAACGAGTTGTGGTTCAAATTGCGGTTGAAGACTTCCTACAATGCTTGCATTTATTAAACACACATATAGCCTGTCGAGAAGGAATATATGTATACAAGTGATTGCATGGACACCAGAATTGAGCTTTCTGTGATCTGTGCCAAAAAACTGCTGCAAATTTATATCTGTTACTGCAGGGTTTATAAAGGCCGTATGTACAGTATGTCATTACAGGCCATGTAATGTTCTCAGCTCTTGGTCAAATAGCCACCATCATTGTGCATATTTTTCATTTTTTCATATTGGCTGATGCTCGTCACCCTGGTTCTCTCAGGGGAAAGATGTTCCATTGTTTTCTCTTTCATTATTCCCGATGCGTTCTCCGTCTCCGGCACATTTACATTTTCCTCAGTGTAAACAGAGAGTGTTTGAATTGGGTGTTTGAATTAATTGGACAATCACGGAGTGTAATTAATCAGCTGGAGTGAAGCCGTGTCGTCGACTCCTATGCAGCCTGTCTCTCCCTCGCAGGTTTTGTGTGCACTGGTTTTGCTCCGTCTGTCAGCGGAGGGATGGAATGAAAGGAGAACATTTGGAGAGATATCAGAGTGGAAGAATAGAGAGAAATTAATTATGCTGGGAATGAAGGGTGACAGTGCCAATTTTTGAAAGTGTTTAATCGAACCCTTTTACACATTTAACTAAGCCAACACAAGCACATGACACTCATCTGCCAGAGAGAGAGAGGGAGAAAGAGAGAGGGGCAATGTGTTAAAAACTCGAGCCACTTTGACACATGGTGTTTCAGTACAAACCTGCATCTTGTTCACTAAGCGCCCTCAATCCATTTGCTTAAATAGCACTTTGCCTTAAACATTCAATAAGTGCATCTCGATGAACTTCACTTTTAAACCTGTATTCTGTTAGATTATGAATGCCAGACAGTTAAACTCCCTTAAATGCATATGTATTGATCTGGAGCTTCAGCCCTGGATGTATGGAGCTCCACAGAATACCTTCTATAGGTACACACACACGTTAACTTGGTTAAATGTGGCACAATATGATTGATTGATTGATTGATTGATTGATGCATTAAATTGATCAAAATGACAGTAAAGACATTTATAATGTTACAAAAGTTTTCTATTTTAAAGAAATGCTGTTCTTTTGAACTTTCTATTAATCTGTGAATCCTGAAAAATAAAGTGTATCACGGTTTTCACAGAAGTATGAAGCAGCACAACTGTTTTCAACATTGATAATAATCAGAAATGTTTCTTGAGCAGCATATCAGTACTGTATATTAGAATGATTTCTCAAGATCATGTGACACTCAAGACTGGAGTAATGATGCTGAAAATTCAGCTTTGATCACAGAAATAAATTATATGTGACCCTGGGGCACAAAACCAGTATTAAGTCGCTGGGGTATATTTTTAGCAATAGCCAAAAAAACATTGTATGGGTCAAAATTATCGATTTTTCTTTTATGCCAAAAATCATTAGGATATTATGTAAAGATCATGTTCCATGAAGATATTTTGTAAATTTCCTACTGTAAATATATCAAAACTTAATTTTTGATTAGTAATATGCATTGCTAAGAACTTAATTTGGACAACTTTAAAGGAGATGTTCTTAGTATTTCGATTTTTTTGCACCCTCAGATTCCAGATTTTCAAATAGTTGTATCTCGGCCAAATATTGTCCTAACAAACCATACATCAGTGGAAAGCTCATTTATTCAGCTTTCAGATGATGTATACATCTCAATTTCAAAAAAATTGACCCTTATGACTGGTTTTGTGGTCCAGGGTCACATATATTGACATATAAAACTGTTATTTTAAATTATAAAATGTCACTGTATTTTACTGTATAGTTGTTCAAATAAATGCAGCCTTGCTGAGCAGAAGAGACTTCTTTCAAAAACATAAAAAAATATTTGTTTGTACAGTAGTGTACATATAAAGCTAATTATAATGACTACACGAGACACACTCATTTCCTTTGTCAATAACGCGTCTTGTGTGTATGTTGTAGTTTTGATGATCCTGCTGTAGATCAGGTGGAGAGAGTGACGAATGCTCTGCTCAGTTCACCAGGATTTGGGACGCGCTGCATGAGAACCAACCCCATACCGTGAGCAACACACACACACACGCGCGCGCACACACACACACACACACACACACACACACACACACACAGGTGTAGCAGCTGACTGTGTGTTTCCTGTTCCTCCTTCAGTAAATTACCGTGTAACCCGGTGGGAGGCAATATTTGGTTCACTCCGGCAGTGGATCCATCCATCACTGAGATCTTTGAGAAGGGGAACTGGAGCATGGAGAACCCATCGCCAGACTGCCAGTGCAGCACACCGCAGCGCAGCTTCATGCTCCCAGACTGCCCGCTCGGAGCCGGCGGTTTACCGCCACCGCAGGTCAGACACACACACTATCACACATTGGTGAATGGCCACTGGCCGAAGTCGCATTCAGTTGCCAATTATTGCCTGCACATTGCTGATGCAGCTTTATGCCAATGGCTTCTGCTTTATTTTGGCCAACTGCAATAGTGTTGCTTTGAATTTTCAGTTTTGGGTGAACTATCCCTTTAACCAATAACACGTAGGTTAATTTTAACTAATGCATTAAAACCCTCTTTTTGTATTGCAGGTCAATTTGACCCACACTCAATTAAATATTTCGTAATAATAGGTAAATAATACCTATTTTCGTAAATAATAGGTAAATATGTCTAATTTAGGGTCATGCATGTGCATGCAAAGATTTGAAACATAGATGCTTTTTGGAAAGACTGTACAAATCTTTTGCACTGAGGTCAAATTGACCCTCCTGGTTTTTTTTGCAATTTGTAAAAGAATCAGCAATTAGAAAAACCAGAAAACCTTTATTGTAGCTTGTCAAATACTAAAATGCAAAATTATGAAATTGAAGACACAATGTTTACTTGAAATTGAATCGTCTTCAGAATCATCTCAGGGAAATTCACTGTTCACGCACATACAATGTTCACTACATATAATATGTGTGGATTGTCAGAGAGAAATGGTTTGTCCAACTTCTCTGAACAGAAACTAATGAGCCATAATTAAACAATCAACAATTTCACAGCAGAAGGAACATTGTTCATCCAGGTGAAAACGAGTCTTGAGACACATACATTCATTATCATATTTAGTCTGTAGCATCTCTTGAATCTGGCAGACTGAAGTTCTGTGTGTAGGTGTGTCAGCACAAATGCAAATCACTCCTGTGCAACTCTGAGTTTAAACTTAGAATCTCCTCTGATTCTCTCTCGGTAAACAAGCTTGCTCTAAGTATATACTGCTGAAAACACACACACACACACACACACACACACACACACTCAGCTGACCCAGTTTGCAAACATTTGCTCAAGTACTGGTTTTACTAAACTAAGGAAAGGGTTCTACACACACAGAGAGAGAGAGAGAGAGAGATGAGATGTTTTGTCTTGAAACATAATCATGGATGTTTTGGGATGCTGGAGGCTGGATAAATCTTATCCGCAGCCTCAGGGTTTCAGATACATCGTGTTGTTTTAATTAGACCAGCAGCAAACACACACACACACATACACACACACACATACGAAAACCCTGAAGGGTTACGTGTGGGGAAAATTTTTCAACTCTATTTCTGTTTTTTTTTTTTTCTGCTCTGTGCAACAACACAATTTTTTTCTTCTTCTGTTCGTTTCATGTAGTCAAGGTGTTTCGAAGGTCAACATATTAAAAAATAATTTGACTGTCAACTTCAGCCACTGGGGGCAATTTATTTATTTATTTATTTATTTTGCTGTAACATAAAAAAGTACCAAATCATGTTTAGTATTTTGCACTAAGTAGAAATTATAGTTTATTTATTTATTTAGTTATTTAATTATTTATTTATTTTGCCTTTGTATAGTTGACATAACAGCTATGAACTTTTCAAAATTCAAAATTAAATTTTCTGTCTGGTTAGACCTTTCTTTTCATAATTTTTAAATATTCCATTTAGTCTTTAAAATAATATAAAGTTAAAACTGTATGTACAATATTTAGTAAATAGTAAAATGCTATTTAGACTGCACAGTCAGATCAGATAAGTTTTTAAATATGTATTCATTATTTAATTATTTCGACAAAATATAAAAAGTATAAATATATATTTTTTTAAGTTTGCATATGTGCTTTTTGTTGAGCATCATATTTGATGCATCAGGCTTTTATGGCTCATATAGTCTGATACAGTGAGAATATGAAGTAAAAACAGGTCAATTTTATGCAGAGACTCAAACTGAGCAAAAATATGCAATTTAGTGCAGATACTGATATGTCAAAAAGTAAGATGGAATTATGATGCTTGTAATGTAAATCAATGAGATCTTTATAACAGTACAGCAGATACTGACATAAAATGATAAACATATCAGTCGTCACTCAATAATATGTCTCAGTAAGATGAGATTTAAATGATCCAAAGATATAATGCAATGCAATGCAATGCTGATTGAGAGATGAAGAAATAAACGCTCCTCAGAAGATGTGAGATATTCTGGAGGCTTGTGAAGATCATCCCACCTCTGAGGAACAGTCAAAGTAAAGCTTCTGGAAACAAACGCTCCTCAAAAGATCCTGATGATTTTTCTTAAAAAAAAAAAAAAAGATTGATGGAGAATCAAGTAAAGCTGAGCTGCTTCAGTCCAGTAAGTGTTCTTCTGGAAATATTACTGCACTTATTCTGACGTTTACTTGATAAAAATCAGTCAAGATTTGACAGCAGAAAGACACGTGAAGCTGGAGCTGAAGCTGGACGTTTGTACAATTACACTAAAAGAGCTTTGACTTGATTAAAAAAAAAAAACAACAACAACTCTGAATTATCAATCAGAGACAGAAGGCATGGAGTAGATTGTGTGCAACAGGTTTAACAGCAAATATTTGATCATTTAGATGCCTTTGTAATTTACATATCAAATATGACACAGTATGATTTATAGGGTTAAAAGATTATTATACCAGAAAAAAAAGAAATATGAAATAGACTTTAGATTTAGTTTACCTAAAAAAAAACAAATAAAAAAAAAAAACAAATGTAGAGGTGCAGAGACATATGAATGCTGATCTATCAACTATTCATCACAGTGATAAATATTCAGTAAACTCCATCTGAAAGTGTCATAAGCTCTGGGCCGAATACACTCCAAACTTTCCCCCCAAAAATCTAATTTTCAGTCTTTCACTTCAAACTTTCTACATCTGTTTCTTGGTTGTTGATAGTAATCGTAGAGTTCCTCCAAAAATGTTCACACCGCTCATGGTTTTAAAAGTAATAACCATTGACTAAAGTGGTAGACATAGACTTCCATAGTATGGGAAATACAAATAAATAAAAAACCTATGGAAGTCAATGGCTGCCGGTAACTGTTTGGTTACTAACATGCTTCAAAATATCTTCTTTTGTGTTCATACAGAAGTCGCATGATGCTTTGTGTGACAAACAGACACAAATTTAAGCCAATATTCATGTAAAACCTGCATCTTCATGTAAACACCAATAAAATTCACCAAAAATAGTCAGTGATTTATACACTATATTGTATGTCTTCTGAAGCCATAGGATAGCTTTTTTAGAAAATAAATTAAAGTTTTTTTTATTTTTTCAATTAAAATATTTCTCTTTCAGTAATTTACATTCATGTTGTGCTCCTTAATTACGTGTAATTGTTCCTCTGGATCTGAAAAGCCCTGCACTGAAATGTTAAACAGCATCACAAATAACCCAGCGACCTTTTCAAACACCTTCCACGTCTATTGTGTCGCATTAAGCGCTTACTGTGCAATTTATGTAGCTGTAAACTGTATTTCACTGCAAACAGCCCCGTGAAAGAGTTTTGATTGATTATCTTCTTGCCGGGCATTAGCTGTAGCGCTAACACGAGCACATGCGCTTTCTTTGATCCACTATCAGACTCATTCTTCATCTGCTCTCTTTCTATCTGTGTCCTTGATAAGTGAAAGGGTTTCTCCACACGGGTTTCTTAATGAATCGATGGTTTCCATGGCGATGACAGGTCAGTGATGTCGTTAAGCGTGTGAAGTGAGTTAGCTTGTATTTAACTGCAAGGCTGTGGCGTTTTAGAGACGCAATAATCAGTCCGCTGGCTTTTTTGTTGATGTGAAACGCACAACAAAGCCCTTTTTATTTATTTTTCCTCATATAAATTCACTTTTATTATACACAACTGCGTCTGTCATCCTCCACAAAGGCGAAGCCATGAGGAGTCTGAAATGTAGACTGATTTTAGTTTTTCCAGCAGTTTAGTTGAGAATTGTTGCTTTGCACATCGTCCCATAGGAATCTATTGGAGATTCGCCGAAACACTGTGATTTTCAGTAAAATTGGATATTATATGGACACATTCTTAAATCAGATGCTGATATTAATGTGGCCAGAAAGTAAGATGACATTCTGATGCTTGAAATGTAAATCTTTATAACAGATACTTATATAAATATCAGATGTCACTCAATAATAAGTCTCAGTATGATGAGATTGAAATGATCCAAACATATAATGCAATGCAATCCAATGATGATTGAGAGATGAAGAAATAAATGTTCATCTGGAAATATAACTAACAATATGAAAGGTATTCTGACAATTATTTTAGTTTATTTTACAATGTTTTTTTTTTACAGTGTATGCATACAGGACTATGGGTCCATGCATATTAAGCTAAATAAACAACCCCTCCACATCATAATAGTCCTTTATAGTGTGTAATGTGAGTGTAATTTGCTCATTTCTGACTCTATCATGCATGCATTTGCAGTCATTATCATACCTGCATTGCTACGGTACTCCCGCTTCTGACCAATATTTGGCTTTAAGATTTGTTGGCAAAGCTCCCGTTTAATTTTGCGAGAACAGGAGATGATGGCAGATGATGAAGATTTGATGTGATATCTAGCAGGCTGCAGTCATTTGCGAGGGCTGAGAAATAGACTTAATTGGAGGGAAAAAGGACCCTGTGAAACAGTTTGATGAACACCGTTTTCAAATATATTTCCTATTGAAATTTGAGGCAGTGAGCTACGAGGTTGTTAATGTCTGGTATAGCCAACTTATTTTTAAAATCATCCTATTCAATGGCAATTTCTGGTGAAAAACTACATTACACAAAAAAGGCAGTAGCGCCAAACACTCGTCCAAAAATCCAGTAGAATTTGGAACACAACTTATGTAGACATATGGCTTTAATTTTATAGCAATTTTGTATTTGAACTTTTTTTAAAATATTTATTTTATATAAAATAAAAGATACAAAGATGAAAGAGATCCGCACTCCTCCAAATGCAGCTAAAAAAGCGTATTCCATTTATTATTCAGAGGTCACAAAAATATGTAG